TTCATTTAACTCAATGGCTCCCCTATGGTACAGCTATACCAATCAGAGCCCCCCCCTTTATTGTAGGGTTTGATGCTGATACAAAATATCAATACTCTTAATCTGCTGCAAGGATACATTGTGACAAATGGAACTCTTTTTAAAAAAAATAACATTTGTTATCACAGCTGGCTGATCCTGCATGACCCCCCACCAAACCACCCCCCCTTCCCCTGGCAGCTTTCACTGGCGATCTGGTGCTGAGTGTGTAAGAATCGGCCAACACCCCTCTTCCTGCAGCCTTTTCGCAGGCTCACTTTGCTCCGTGCACCATTCCACTTAATCATGCCGAAGATGATCCCCCCCCCCAGGGCCCTGCTGTCAATCAAAGCACATTTATTGTTGTTACTCCGCCGCCTCGTCTGACACCTTTCACGGGATTTTAATTCATCGCTGACATCAGCTATTAGTAACCCGCCGCCGTGTTCGAAATTCGCAGGCGAGTGCGCCTTACTTCAATCGTTTCTATAGGGATGTACTACGGATGCATGGGCAAGAAAAAAAACTGCAGCTGGCGCCTCGTTTTTAAGCCCCCCTCTGCGGATAAATGGACGATTCTCGGCTTTTTATGTATCTGCTCAAAAGGTTGGCCTGATTGGTTCCTGAATTCTGTGTTTATTTGTCCGATCCGTGTAGAAAGCAGCGTCGTGTAGAGTCGTTTAGCTTTTCCTGCGACTGGTGAATATATTTATTTGGGAAAAGGGAAACAAAGTAAACAGAATCCATCCAATAAATAAGGAATGTGTGTGTATATATATATATTGGGATCACATATAAAATGTACACAAGTTTATATTCTGGGGATGGAGGATGGTCAAAAAAAGTTAGGGGAGGGGGTTTGGGGTAATGGTAACATTGTATCGGTTATATCACATGGCACCTTGTGCACTTTTTGATTGGTCGATTTTTATTTTTGCAAAAGTATATAAAAAGAACTAATATAATAATATCAGATTGTTATCAAACAAATGTCAGCCGGATGCAGAACTTGTGATCAATGTGATTTCTACTTTACTGTGATCGCTGTTTGTTGTTTTTCTGATGGTTCGGAGACTTCCAGGTTTTTTTGTTCTGTCAAGTTGGAAAATACTTTTTGAGGGATCTCTCCCGCCTGTTATAAGTCATCAGCAAATATATATAATTTGTTGTTTAATATAGTAGCGTGAAGATATTTTGGTGTATTTTATAGATACAAAATAGACTGAAACAATTTGGCGCTGTACCCTCCCCCCCCCGGACATATCGGGGAAACATTACAAAGCTTTATAAAATGAAATTAATAAGTGCTAAAAACACAGAAGTAACTTTTTGACCATCACTTTAAAAACACCAGATTTGTATTTAAGTCAAAACACAAGTCGGCATACATCTAATGCTGGGCAAATTCCAGGAGCCAGGTTGTCAATGCTCCTTAAAAATTGGCACCCAACTTTTTGACATTTTCTTTAGTTGTTGCCAATGGAGCTGTGTTCTTATAATAAGGTTCGCTGTGTGTCTTCTTTATAATAAGGTTCGCTGTGTGTCTTCTTTATAATAAGGTTCCCTATGTGTGTCTTTTATAATAAGGTTCCCTATGTGTGTCTTTTATAATAAGGTTCCCTATGTGTGTCTTTATAATAAGTATGTGCCTTCTAATAAGAAGGTTCCCTATTCACATAGGGAACCTTAATATTAGAAAGCACATACTTATTATAGTATAGACTTCTAATGGGAGGGTCCCCTGTGTGCCTTCTAATGGGAGGGTCCCCTGTGTGCCTTCTAATGGGAGTGTCCCCTGTGTGCCTTCTTCTAATGAGAGGGTTCCCTATGTATATAGTTTTCTTCTTTAGACCCAGGACGTACCCTGTTATCTTCTCAGTTCATGGTGATATAATCTTCAAGGCTCCAAATTCATAAAGTGGACTGGTTTATTCCTGAATGTGATGAGATAGAAGAGGTATCAGATCCATCAAACATTCTTTCTCCACCATAATGGGACAATTGCCCTTTAGTCCACTTTCCACACTTCCTAGTTTTATCACATCCCATGATGATGATGATGACGACGGTACAAGTTGCATCATGTGAATATTATTGTGTTCTTGTCACAGTAATAGTCCATCTCAAATGTTCTACATGTCCCTTTATGGGGGCTTCTGTTGCTCCCACCGGTTTGATGGAAGTCTCACTGTACCATATGAACATTTTACATACTCGTGATAGTCCTTATTAGACTCGTTTCTTCCCCCACCCAATGGCAAGTTTACTTTTCCCTTTACATCCACCATTAATGTTTTTGAACATACAGTTGCCGTGGTTGCACAATTGTTTTTGATTTTGAAAAAGCCATAAAACACACAAAAAAATTAGCATAAATTCTAGGGATGCACAGATACTAGTATCGGTACCGAGTATTTGGGCGAGTACTCGTACTTACCCAAATGCTCTGATGCCTAGCCCGTTACTTCCTGTATCAGGAAGCCGGGCAGTGTGTCATTACACGGCACCCGGCTTCCATGATTGGCTAGCAAGCCGGCTCCATGCTCCCTCGGGAAGCCAAGTGGCGAGTCCTTACACGCCGCCTGGCTTCCTGAATGGGACTTACAGTACTCGGTATTCGGTATCGGCGAGTCCAGAAAAAAATATATATCGGTATTGAAATACCGGTATCGGTGCATCCCTAATAAAAACTGCCCCCTCCCCCAAAAGTATCTAGTAATAGACCTCTGTGATGTTCTTTATTTACTGATTCTCCCTTTTTTTTCATTTAGGAAACCCTCTGGATCGGGTACAGCCTCGACTTCCTCAACCTTTTTTAAAACCACTTTTCAAAATGGGGAACGGACTTTCAGAACAGACTGCTATCCTCTCGGGGATATCGCCGTTTCAAGCGCTGCACATCGCGATCTTGGGCTTGGACTGCGCCGGAAAGACCACCGTGTTATACAGGTTGCAGTTCAACGAGTTCGTCAACACCGTCCCCACCAAAGGATTTAATGCAGAGAAGATCAAAGTGTCCCTCGGCAACTCCAAAACTGTGACGTTCCACTTTTGGGATGTAGGAGGCCAGGAGAAACTGAGGCCTCTCTGGAAGTCGTACACTAGGTGCACGGATGGGATTGTGTTTGTGGTGGACTCCGTTGACGCGGAGCGGATGGAGGAGGCCAAAACGGAACTCTATAAAATCACTAAGATCTCGGAGAACCAAGGGGTCCCCGTCCTCATCGTTGCCAACAAACAGGATCTCCGGAACTCTTTATCCCTCTCGGAGATCGAGAAGCTGCTGGCGTTAAACGAACTCAGCTCCTCCACGCCGTGGCACCTTCAGCCCACGTGCGCCATCATTGGCGACGGACTGCGGGAAGGGATAGACAAGCTATACGAAATGATCGTCAAGCGGAAGAAAATGCTCAGGCAGCAGAAGAAGAAAAGATGAACCTTTTTAGGTCTTTGCCGAATGACAAATGCATAGGCCAAGCCCGTCAAAAAACAAATATTGGCGTTGCCGGGCTTGCCTTGGATGCCTAGGCCGCCTGGTGTTAAAAAGTTCCATTCCATCATTATTTAAAGCCGCGCGGAGCTGATTTCTTGACGCTCCGCAAATTCGAGCGACAGTTGTAGTGTGTCTGAGTTTTGTAACACCGGGAGATCATAGTGTCTGCTTCAGCGACTTTCAACACTGCCTAGTCGTGGAGAGTGGGCAACTGAACGTTCACAAGGGTGATGGAAGCAGGAGGGTGCCTGGTGCGAGGCAGAAAACTGGTTACGGGCATAGATATGCAGTCGGCTTTGGGAAAACTGGGCATTTGTGAGGTTGGTGGCCCCACTCTTTACCTCCCTTTGTTTTAGCGGACTCGAGTTACAAGAGTCGCCGTGACTACTATCAGCAAAACAAAGTGTTGTATGGATGGCTATCCCTTCAGTACAGATCTTCATTTTAAGTCATCCGGAAACTATACATGCAGTGCATGATGGATTCTGATCAATTTCCTCTTTTTTTTTTTTTATTCAGATACATTTTTGTTATTGACATCACTGAAAATGCTGTGCATTATCCAGTATCGTACACAACCATTACCTGTGGACTTTTTTTTTTTTTTACGTGATAAAACATTAAATTTCACAGAATCTTCAAGCTTTCTGCCCTTCCTCAGGCAGAGCTGTTTTAAAACTCTATAGTGTGGTACAAGAGCACAACTTTTTGGTATAGGTTACACCAGGGCTGGACAAATCCCAGGAGCCAGGTCGCCAATGGTCCTTCAGAATGACAGGCGGCGCCCAACTTTGGAGGTTGTTGTCAATGGAGCTGGTGTCCCAACACAGCAAATGGTGCTGCTGGTGCCCCACCTGGATTGGGCAGGCTGTCTCCCGAATCCCGTATTGATTTGTCCTCCCCTGGGTTACACAGAAGGGCTTTGTTTAGTAATGGGACGATGAACAGTGTACCGTAATCTACGGCGACCAATCAGAAATAAAGGTAGCGGTGAGACTGAACTGCAGTTGGTTATGGTGAGTTACTGCACACTGCCGTTCATAGCACAGAAATTCAGTTTTTGTCTCGCTTTTGGAGCAAAATTCAAGTGATCAGTGAGGTACAGTACAGCTTCACCTCTGTCATGGCCCATATAGTGTAAGACGGGGGCTGGTCAAACTCCTGTCCTTCGAGGGCAGACAGGGAATGATCTTAGTCACTGAGCTGATCCCTGGTCTTAATTCATGACAACCTGTTCACTACGGGGTGACTATGTCCTTCGAGGACTTGGTTGGACATCTAAGGCCCCGTGCAGACCTACGCGAATCCAGGAGGTGAGGTGTAGCCTAGGTGTGCACAGGCCCTGAAGCCCTACGCTTCATAGACGTCGCTGCTGATCCATTTCTGTTTTTTATTTATTTTTTCATTACTTGAATTACCTAACTAGGAATTCTTCGATACTACTTAAGAGATTAAAGCTTCGGTAACTCTAAATGTAGGCTGTGCAGCAAGTAAACTATATTGGTGACATCCACTTCATAGGTCTTGCCTTAGGCGGGATCTACACCTATGCGTTATTCCACATGGAAGTGCATGTTAACATGTGCCGTTGGGCATTTACACATGTGTATTGGGTGTACATGTATCACTATGCATCACCGTGTGTCTTGGGATGCATTTCCATTGATTTATTTGGAAAATGAATCAAGCGAAAACGTATTGTAATGTCTTCTGCATGTTATTTGCCCTCCAAATTTTAATTTAGGACCCATATCTTTTATTTTAGGGACAGAGCACGGCAAGAGTGAAAACCTCTTCCAAGTTGTTATTGCCCTTTGTAACTTAATTGGGGAGATTTTCTCTCACTTCCTGTCCCTATGACTTCTATTATTTTAACAGCACAGGAAGTGCAGAAAAATCACTCCAATAAGGACATCGGCAGCAATATACACCAGAGGCGGTAGCCCTTCCCCCACGCTATTAAAAGCTAAAAAGTTTTGGTTAAAGATCTACTTGGGGCTCCGTTCACACTTGAGCGTTTGCTCACGCGTTTCCTGAAGCTTGACAATGCTCAAGATCAGGGGTAGCCAAACTCCGACCCTCCAGCTCTGGTGAAACTACATATCCCATGATGCAGCTCTCTCCGGGAGTCATGTCTGTGGCTGTGAGAATCTTGCAATGCCTCATGGGGTATGTAGTTCCACCACAGCTGGAGGGCCGGATTTTGGGTACCCCTGCTCAAGATGAAGAACCCTATTATTCTCAATGGGCCTGTTCACACCAGAATGTTGTGTTGCCTATCCCGTGGAGCCTCAGAAGTACATTGGTTGCTTTTTTGGCCCCATAGACTTTAATGATAGTGCCTGAAAAACGATGGTTTCTGCACGTTTTTCAGACGCTCCCATTTCAAATTCCATGGGGCCAAATACGCATGATTCTGCTTCAGTAATACAAGTCTTGCATAAGCAGGGTAATGCACATGCTCAGGCGTGAATGGGGACGTAAGTTGTAGTAGGTGGTATGAAGGGATGGCCTCCTGTCCTGATAGGTCATTGTGGATGGTAGAAGAAGGCTTTTCTTGCTGCAACAGTATACATTTCAGTTATAGTCCTCGTTATTCTGGGGAACGTACGGAGTCTTCTGTAAATGTAAGCATTTGCTTCAGCTGTGAAATGACTGTAGACCTCAGAGTAGCACGTCGGGGGGTGTACTATAAACCAGGAGGAAAAGGAAGAGCAGAGGTGACCCAAAGATGCAGTCAAGAACATGTTGACTTACATTATCAGGCTTGCTCTAGACCAGGGATGGCCAAACTCCGGCCCCCAAGCTGTGGTGGAACGACGAATCCCATGAGGCTTTGCAAGATTCTCACAGCCACAGACATGACTCCCGGAGAGAGATGCTTCATGGGATTTGTTGTTTCACCACAGCTGGAGGGCCGGAGTTTGGCCAATCCCTGCTCTAGACCATGGGTAGACAACCTTGGCTCTCCAGCTGTGGTGACACTACAACAGCCTTAATTTTATTGCCTCTGGGAGTCGTGCCTGTGGCTCTCAGTCTTGCAAAGCCTACTGAGACTTCCAAAGAAACTGGAGTGCCAAGGTTGCCTCCCCCCTAGTCTCGGGCAAGCTTGAGAATGAGGATAAACGTGTTGTTGACCATTGACCCAACCTTTCTATTTATCATTTTACTCCCGTTAGACTTGACAAGAAGTCGTGGAGAATTAATGAAACGTTTTGTTTGTTTTTGTATGAGGGGTTGGATTCTAAAACCTGTGACAGTCCTGACACTGAACAGCCGACTTCACTTTATAACAAAAATAAATGGCAGAAAAAAAACTCTTTAGGGAAGAACCAGTTAAATTCAGCTGTTAGGCCGAAATGAAATTGTATCCTTCCCCCCCCCCTTCTCACAAGTACCTTGATACCTGCCAGATACCGACTCCCGTAGCCTCTCCGCCGCTTTCCTAACTAATACTTTCATGTGTCAAGATAGCAGAGCGGACGGTTTGGCAGCCGTCCAAGCGGAGCTCGCGTCTCGTGGAGCCGGAGTTAGCGGAATGTCAAACTTTTTGTACAGCAAGGAAAAAAAAACTTGTTTACTGGGTGCCTGGGGGGCCAATATCTCCAAAAATGATTCTTGATCCAGATTGCAGACCTGTCACTCTGCAGCTTTAGACATTGTTACATTTTAACGATTCGACGTTGAGAGCATCCCTTTAAACCACGGGTAGTCAAACTCCGGCTCTCCAGCTGTGGTGGAACTACAAATCCCATGAGGCATTGCAAGATTCTCAGACACGACTCCCGGAGAGAGATGCATCATGGGATTTGTAGTTTCACCACAGCTGGAGGCCCGGAGTTTGGCTTTAAAAGATATAAAAACACCGCTTCCAATTTTTTTTTTTTTTACTGAGCAAAATAATTTTTTCCTAGACCAGGAAGTGAAATATATTCTTGTAGATGATGCCGTTTTCTCCTCACCTGCTGCTTTTATTTTAAAGCACACTTTTTATAGGAGTGTAGAACCTCCGACGGGAGTTCTGCCGTTTACACTTTTGGCGAGCCAGCCAGGCTCAGAAAATATATTTACATTTTTTCCTCCATCATCCGGTAGCATTGAACTGTCCGACTGCCTTTTACGCTTGTGAAGAGTAAACACATCACGTCAGACTGTTTGCATGTTACATATTTGCATTCCAGCTGCCACTCTTTTTAAAGGTGGAGGCCGACTTGCACTTTAATGTTTTTGAGGATTTTCTTTTTTATTTTTTTTTATTTTACCACTTGGCAGCTGAACAAAATGGACACTGGACAATATGGGAATGAATGGATTGGCTTCTGGCAAAGATTCTGTTTGTGTCTTTGTATGTTACCTGTCTCAGTGACGCAAGTCACGGTTCCAGTGAAGTTCCTATTTATAAGGCTCTGGACACTATCTTCAGCTTCAATAAACAATCTAAAGTTGGTAATGGCGTCTTCTGTTTATTATTGAAAGGGAATCGGAGGTCTGTTTTTAAAGAGACGGTACACTTTAAACCGGGGGTGAGTAATTGCGGCCCTCTAGCTGTTGTGGAACTACAAGTCCCACGAGGAATTGCAAGAATAGCAGCCACAGGCATGACTCCCAGAGACGGAGGCATGATGGGATAGAAGAGTTGGCCACCCCTGCTTTAAACAAAGGTTTGCTTCATTAACCCCTTTCTGCCGGCCCTTTTAAAATGACATGCTGGAGCACCATCATCTCTGTGCAGGCCAGTGCATGGGCTTTATCAATCTTATGATCACTGTGATTGGCTGTTACATTGCACAATAGAAGTCACCAGCACTCGATGTGTGGAAGAAGTAAAGCACTTTTTATTAAATCGTCACATGCGTCAAACAGCCAACGTTGCGGGGCCACGCAAGGTCCCTTCTTCTGGGGGACATAGTGACTCAGAACGTTTGCCCCCAAACGTTGGCTGTTTGACGCATGTGACGATTTAATAAAAAGCGCTTTACTTCTTGCACATATCATCGAGTG